CCCCAGCCTGTATTGATACCAGGGGTATCAGAGGAAAGAGACGTACTTGGTGAAGAGTCCGCTTTGAGGCTTGCCATTCATGTCAGCTTCAATTAGCTTATTCCTTGTCTCCTTCTCACTTCGCAACTGTCAAAAAGTCCAAGAAGATTGGAGAAAGAATGAAAAGAGACATCTTAACAAGCCACCTTAGTACAATCCCATACTAAGGTTATATCCCATATGTCATTAAGCATAAGGTCATCCAACCTCGTTAGATGCAGAATACTGTGGATTTGTTTAACAAGCCAATTCAACAGATGCATATCTGCAAGAGCACTGCATGTCTTGACTAGAGCTCCATAAGGGCACAGCTACACACCCAGCGTGTCCTCAGACTCAAGCTGCAATTTAGTAAAACCTTCAGAGAAGTCTGCAGCAGTCCCTGCTGAGACTGAGCCAACTCCTGACTTCCACAGTACTCCCTGCATCAGCCCATGACAGACACAGCGCTGGACGTCTGTCCACATGTGTTTGTATGCCTATGAAATCAGGCTAGACTCAGTTAAAAATTTGCAGCCTTTTTAGCTATTATTTACTTGCTCTCAGAGGAAAGCATTCAAGTATGCCCTGTACAGGCAACCGATGGATCTCCCACGAGGATGGGTCACTTCTTAAATCTCTCAAATGCCAGCATTAAGTCATCGCACAAGAATACCTGTGATCACCACAGCAAGTGAAATATTTTGCCCAGAGAGCAGCAACATTAATTTTGTCACCACTGATGGACAAAACAGTAACCAAAAAATTGTTTCAGTACCTTCTAGAAGCACAGACACAGTTGAGGTAGGAAAAGGGATGGCAATTAAAGGCTCACTTTTAAGGCTGTCTCTTTTGTGTCATGTCTAGCCTAGTTATTCTTTCTCTTTTGATAGGAGCTGACACCAGGCACAAGAAGCAAAAGTTGTGCAAATTCTGAATGTGGGAAAAGCTACACGGAGTCCAGTGAAGAGCCAAAATTTGGGGTACAGCATGTTGTTAAATAGAACAAACTGCTGGAGCACAAAAGGAAGTGCAGGAAACTGCCTGCTCCATTCACAGGTAATTCAGAGATTGCAAAAAAAAATCCAAACCCAAATCAAATGAATTGCTTCCAGCAAACAAAATCCCCTCTTCTGTCGAATAACAGCAGCAAATCTTTTAGCAAGGATGACATACTGTTCCACTACAAGCCTTAGATTTAAAATAAAAAATAAATTAAAAAAAAAAAATCTGATTTGAGAGCCATTTTCAAAGTGAAATTATGTACTTAGGGGAATGTCATGGAACTGCCTATTTCATCCTTAACAAATGTAAGTTTTCTATTTTAAGTGATAAAAATGGCACATGATAAGCATACATGATAAAATGGCATTTCTATTAAAAAAAAAAATCATATCCAGTAAAAAAAAAGTGTAATAAAATCTGGATTCTTCTCTTCTTCCCAGTTCTACTATAGCTTGCTACACTAATTCAATAAATGAAGAAGGCCTTTGTATAGCGCTACTATATAGAGAACAAGGGGGGTTGCTAGCCCCTGTGAAGCAAGCCTAAAAGTGGGCTAGCACCGATCCAAAAAAATTCTTGTCGTTATTTTGCTTTTTCTTTTTCTTTTCTTCTGAGGAGTGCAGTTATCTGCAGAATCCTAGTCTAGTGAGATAGGAGGAAATCCAGAATACAACACTGATAGTATTTATCAACACCTCATTTAGGGAGAAGCTGATTAATTTTTAAAAAGTTTCTGTGAATGTTAAGGATGCTATTTAAGGATGACAGCAGCTGTGTTATGATCAGAGCTCGAGTTCTACTGCCCACATTGTCAGTTCCTCAAAATACTTTACTGGGTGTTATCAGCAGTGTTCTCATTATGTCTGTGTCTGAATCCAACATTTTAAATGACACTTTTTTATTTTTTTAAAGAAGGTTGGTTTGTTTTTTGGAAGCACCCAAATGAGGTAATTGAGTCGACCAGATGAAATAGGAAAAAATGCAATCCAAAAACAACTTTCTGGCTTGATGACTGGCTTTACTTTCATCTTTTTGCTTTCCTTTTTTATGCCAACTTTCTTCCAATCTCTCTATTGCATTATGAAATGGCAATTTAATATGGTTTTGAAATAACCGATTTTTTTAGTCCAGAATTCCCTGAAGTTTATAATTTCTTCTGACTCAATCAAAAGTCTCTCTATTGTAAGAAATGCAGACATGGTAACAGATCTCTTTCTCAACACTGACAGCATATTTCCTTAGATCCAAACACAAAGTTGACTTGGGTAATCACTCATTAAGAAAAGAGCAGTTTGACACTAGAGAGCTTGCCAGCTAACAAAAGCAACTGCAGAATAATAACAATTCCAAAGATGAACTATACATTCCTTACCAGTTTACATAATTCTGCATGTCAGCACGCTACTGACCTTCTTGATGCAGTCATCCAGTTTTCTAGATTTCTAGCTATTAAAAATATTGGTGTAATTAAAGATTCCAAATGACTAACAAAAAAAAATAGCTGGGCCTCAGCTTCCTGCGTCTGTTGACGCCATGTGTCTTAGAGAACACCCATGCATGAAAAGGTAATTGGAGAGGTGGAAAATGATCTGCCAGAGACTCACCACAGTCTGTTTCTTCTGCAGCATTTCTAAATGCTCCACTAGGCCCTCATCAGCCACATCGAATGGCGTCTGGCCCTGATACAATAAGAGAAGACAAGAGGATATCCAATACGGCATGGTGTTAATATTAAAAAAAAGCACTAGTTACCAGTGAAGAACAAAAGCACACATGCTCCACATCCTCCCTCCCCAAATACTGAGTAACATACTCTGTTTCACTCCAGAGTGGGGAAAGCCACACGACAGCAATGGTAGTTTTATGACTCAATCCATGATCAGAGCAACCTTAATCTTGGAAGTGAGGTTCCCTGATTGCTGCTGCTCAAATCTAACAGTCACGACTAATATATTTGAGTTTCCAGGTTTCTAAAAAGGACACTTTTGTACTGTGAAGGAATGCGATCAACCTGTTCTACTGTATCATTGTGTATTTGAACCTCTGAAAGGCTGCCAATCATCAGCAGGCCAAAAAATTTGGGAGCCATTTCCACATCCATGGGCATTTACAAAATAAAACAAACTAGAAAAATGACTTTGGGGCACTAAACAAGAAATCAGTTACATTTTCACATAACTAAAGCTATAATAACCATTTAATTAACAACACATAATGAAACCTGATGGCTAGTGATCAAGTAAATACAGGTTGCCTTGGCCATCTGACCTAGCAAGGTAACAATCCTTGACTGGAAAGAGCAGGTAACGCAGCAAATACAGCTGTGTGTGTTTCTTTTTGAGTCTATCACAGTACAAAACGCACACACATTCTGAACACTTTGGAAAGCACCTGATGGCACTTAAAACAAAAAAGATTCCCTGTATTTTGGATGCTAAAGAGCTTACCACACTAAAATGGCTCCTTCTCATAGAGCCATTTCTTTTACATTGGTTTCCACTACAGACAGATGCACTCAAACCGTACAGTGCCCCATCTCTCTCATCAAATTATCCTGCCTGCTTTCATTCCCCGGTGCTGTTCCAAATACATACAACCGCATTCCCTCTCCCAGCAGCAGCAGCCACGGCACAACTGAACCCGCTCCGGCAGGCAGTGGTTCGCAGACGCTGCCTGGACATCGCAGCAGGGAGGGGAACACAAAGAACAACCCTGGGCAAGCACACGTCAGCTCTTGAAAATCCACGGGCTCTTCAAGGAAAACTTCTAACTATTAGGATGGAAGAGGAATTTTTTTCTCCTTTTTTTTTTTTTTCTTCCATCCTATTTTTCTTTACTCATTTCTCACGAATCTGAGTCAATTTAATTACCCTTTTTATAACCAATATAGTAGAACAGGAAAGATTTAGAGCTGCCAGTTTCTTACGGGTTCACTGTTTTCAGTGCCTTATACCTTAATATTAGCATATTATTTTGCACTCCAAGACTGTCTTTTTTTGTTGTTGTTCAATTTGTCAGGATTACACTAAAACCGACAGACACAGATTAGCCCCCATCCTTTCTTACAATCTTGGTCTTAAACTTTATAATCACTGATCTTTTCCAGTAACACATGAAATCTTTTCTGCCTTCCTCCAGTCAAGATTCTTTATTTTCTGACGCTTTTAAATGCTCCAGTGCACACACTAGGAGAACTGCTCACTGTGTAACTTTGTCATGGCGTTGGATCAAGTTGTAAGCAATAAAGTTGATATTCATCTGGCTATAAAATACATTGCATAAGTTGTGCCAACATCTGTGCGTACTAACCAGCTTGTTCCTGATGTCCATATCACATAGTGCCTCAGCCAGGATGGAGCAAGCTTCCTTCACTCCCCAGTGCGCAGCAGCATGCAGCGGAGTCCACCCGTCATTGTCCTGGACATTCAAATTAAACCCAGCCTGGATCAAGAGCCTGAGGAAAGAAGCAATATTGATTTCTGCCCACTCAAGAATGACTTCTTGACACAGCAGAGTTCACACCGCGAGCCACAGAGTAGGTAATGTGGTCCATAATAAGTAGTTTCTTAACTTGTTTATTTACCTAAGCAACATCCCACTTGATGTGCTTGCAACTGTAACAGAAAAGGGCAGTAAACGAAAAGAGAAGTGACTTCGCTGTAAAACCTGCTGGAATGTGTCCAATTCACATTGGTTCCCTTTCAGCATGTCCTAAACTGGCAGAACACCTTAATTTCTAATCTGGCATTGGTGACCCAGTCTGAGCTCCTGCTCCAATGGACAAGAGACACTAGACTTGCTCAGGCACTAAGCAAACAAACAACATCTCTGCAGACTGCCAATTCCATAACAAGAAGCCAGCCACAGCATCTAGCATGAAAAGGACATTTGGTGACTTGGATCTACCAGAGAACAAGGCCACACTGTAGGATCGGTCCATAAGGAGACGATGCCAGCAGGACTGCCAGGTAAGAAGAAATGACATTACTGTGATTGACAGATGTGAAATTTGTAAGTTAAATAACCCACATTTGGGTTAAACAATCCAAAATGCATTTTTGCAGACTAGTCCTTGCACAGTTAAAGCAAATCTTACCCAAGTGAACCTGCCTGGGAACACCCTCGTATCACATTTACTGCTGTGCACCTTCCACCCACTCCCTTCTCTATCGGACCAGAACGCTAGTGTTGCATAGCATCTGGAGCTTAAATATTTAAGAACAAAACAAACAGAAGAGAGTCAACTGTAGTCTGAAGCTTCAGAAACACATGCACACTGGTACACCAGTGATCAGACGAAAGTACTGAGCGGCTCAAAACTGTATCAAAACTGACTATCATCCAAGTTGCTTAAATATTGAAGAACATCCCTGGGGAATTCTGCAAGTCCGGTGAAACTGCTACTGAAAATTTCCACCGTGGGAAGTTCCACCATCCAGAGCCACCTTTCTGCAGCACAAGGGAAATCCAGCACAACCCCAGAATGGCACCAATAGTTTTGAAACTCCTGCAGCTTTACACTGATGCGTTACTGTGCTAAATAAAACACAGTCATTCTACAGCAGCAGTATGTTTCTCTGTGAAAGAAATTTTAAATTAGGTGTTGACTTTATGTTGATTTTCCAGCTGGCAAAAGGGAGGAACATAGCTGCTAAGGGACTCAAGGTCACAGACAAATTCCATGTCTCATTTGAGAGTTAGCTAGCTCCTGGCTTTCAGCCCCTTTGGTTTAAGTCACTGATGCTTTGTATTTGAACTTACAGAGTGGCCATAAAATACACAAGAGTGAAACAATGTCAGCTCTCCATGAGATCTGTTTGTCATTATAACAATTAACGCAAAGGAGTAGCTGTCCAGAACTAGTCACCCTGCAAACAGTGAATGCAGCCTTCATTGACAAGTACTGGATATACAACCCTCCACTGAACGTCCATGGGACCAACACCTCAAATTCAGGAGATACTACATTTCTATTCCACATGAGCTGTGTTAGATTAGTGTTCTTGGGCACGGTACTGGCACAGACAGCTTATAACTCAATTATAAGCTCTAATGAATGAATACAAATAGGAAACATGGAGAACAACAAAATTACTAGAGCTTGACAAGAAACAGCTCTTACACATCAAGTCATGCCACTTAAAACTATGAAATTAAGGATCAAGATAGATGAACACTTCCAGAAAGGATTTTAATGTGGGCAACAGAGTAACCTTGCTGATGTTTATGGGCAGCTCCACCCATATACAAACAGTAGAGAAGAAAGCTTTATTGTTGGAAACCTTAATTTGACCTTACCTGTAAAAATATTAATGCTTTATTGCCAGGAAACACTACATTTGGCAAGTTTATGTTCATAATAAGCTTGTTAGTGCCAGAGCAGTAGAAGCAGAACTGTTTTGTGTTGGAATCCCTCTGTCAGTGCAGGAGCAGTAGCATTAAGGAGCAGGGGAGAGTGAGATGGGAGTGGACACTGCGTTTTTCCACTAGACTGGTCATGTAAACTGTTGGGGTGTTTGTGATTGTCATGCAGCATGTATTGTCACTTTGTAGGCTGAAATTATACTCTTATTCCTTAATACTGTTTAACTTGCTAGTCCTAAAACTATTACTTTAAGAGTGAAAAATCAAACCTCCTAATTTGTGTCTCTCTCTCTGAAAAGCTTTCATCGCTTTAAAGGCCTAGAGTTATGAAAAAGGAATCTTCCAGTCCCTATGTATTTCTAGGTCCAACCACTATGGTTGGACACATAAATCTACAGAGCCTTTTGAGAAATAGCAGCCTGAAAATCTCAGAATGAAACAAATGTCTCTCAATTATAAAGCTAGATGTGTTCCTTAAGAAAACCAGCCTTAATTCAATGTATCAGCCCTGGGAAGGAGCTCCTACCTCATGACTTCAGAATAGCCCTTTGCTGCAGCAACATGAAGAGCTGTGGCACCTGTTCGAGGCTGCTTTATATCTTCAATTCTCCCACTGTTCAGCCACTGTCGGGCATCCTGTAGCATTTGCTGCTCCTCTTCTTTTCTTGCCAGGTCTAGGTCTACACCTAAGAGGGTGAAGCACAGAAGAAGAGATTATCAAGTGAAAGCTCTCATGTACTTGTTAAACTTACTCTATATTTTTCTTGCTATACAATATTAGTAAACTATTTATAATCTTCCACAAAAGAACCCAAACCGAAACAAAAAAACAAACCCCAAAATCAGCAAAAGCGTCTTCTAGGAGCTGGGAGAACTCATGCATCACTGACAGAGACTTCAAAGCTGTCTGGCTTAAAAAAATCTGAAAGTTGAGCCACTGGTTGCAAACCAGTCCAACCAACTACTAGCTCAACTGTGAACTATGGGTGGAAGAATTACATTCTAAATATGCAGTGTCCTAGATTGAAATAACAAAGTCATGAACAACAGCTTAACAAACTAAATTAAACTATAGAGTATAATCTACAGTGAAGATCTGAAGAGATGATCCTAAGATGTCTCCTGCAAGAGCAGCACAACCCCAACTCTATGCTCACTCAAAATTCAGTACAATCTGCAAGCTGCACATACAGAGATCTGTACTGCACTAGAGCCATTCATGCCAGGCACGCCAAGAGAAAGATTTAGTTAATTCCATTGAGCAGCAAACCACCAGATTCTGACAAAACACACAATTCTAAATTATTTTGGAGATACAAGGCCAAAAAAAAAAAAAAAAAAAAAATCTACTCTGATGGCTTAAGAGATCTGATTTAGATGAAGTCAGATCAAGTGAGTTCATCAATACACACATCTGGTATAACAGAGACACGGACTATGGGGCTTTCGAATAACAAGAGGGACAAGTTTCCCACCTTAGGAAACAACTGCTATGATGTGGAGAGGCCAGATGCGGCTAGCTGATGGGCTGTCTCACTAAAGCAACAAAGAGGCAAAACTATCTTAGACTTGTTTCCGTAAATGGACTTTTCATGATAATGAGGTCCTGTAAGGATGATATATCAATCAGAAGTACAATACAGCTCCATACAAGATTAATCAGACTAGAGCTCACTGACCCAGGAAAAAATATGAAGGAGAAGATGACAAATCTCAAAAATCAAGAAGGGTGTTGAAGAGCAACTGTCCTTATGGATTAGTTCTTTCAGTATAAGAACAACATGATTCCCAATTAAATTACAGGGCATTAGGTTTAAAATGGAACAAAAGAAAACACTTATCAACTTAGAGTCTGAACTGTGAAACCCACTACTGCAGGATGTTGCAAAGATTAGAAATTCAGCTGGCTTCAGAATAGGGATTTGTAGTTATTAAACATAACGCTATACATGCCAGGAGTTCCCAAGAAGGACTGCACAAGTTCATGAAACAGAAAGCCATGGGGGATTCATGAGTACACAGAAAGCCCATCTGGCTCAGGAATTCCTTGAGGAACAGTAGCTGGAGGCTGGGAAAATGTTTGGGAGGGGAATCATACACACTTGTCCTGTTGTCATAATTTGCAGCAGGCATCTGCTTATAGCTACCATTGAAGACAGGCTACAGAACTGGATGGACGCTTATTTAAAGTTTATACCACATTTACTCCAGCAGTTATGATCCTTTTAAACTGTGTCAATGGGAAGCTTCTTGGTAGAGACAGATGGTTGTTTCAGGGCATCTTAGCAGGATGCTGCTAATGTAGTGAAGCAATGAAAAAGCCCAGCAGAATCCCAAGAAATGTCAGGCAAAATATCTGCAGCTGCGGAGGAATTACTGCCTTAAGGCCCTGTAAGGTTTCAGCCATGTTCTTACCATGTACAGTTCTCGATACCCACTTTAAAGAGAAACAAGTCACACGGCTGTAAAGAAAGGATCTCTATCTACCTGGGCATCCAAGGAAGTTTGACTGCAGAGAGCAGACACGCATGGTTTGGATAGCCCAGTAAAACAAACGCTGACTGGAGACACAATTCCTCTTTTTAAATACATGAGCAGACTAAATATAAGGGAGAAGGGCTATCTAAGCTTATTTCAAAGTGGAGGGAAAAGGAGAACAAAATAAGAATAACACTTCTTATTTTGTCACAAATACCACTAGCCTAGAAAGTGAAAAGTTTCTATTTACCAGAAGGAACATGATCCTGCATCAATTTTCCAAGAGGAACATAACATTTCACTTAACATTGCATTTAACATTCAATCCAGCATGCAAACAACCCCACACCAACCTGCAGTCATAAAATAATCTAGACTGGAAAGAATCTTTGGGGGACTCTAGCCCAAATCCCTGCTCAAAGAAGGGTAACTTCAAACCCAGATCAAGTTGCTCAGAGCTGAATGCAGCTGAGTTTTGACTACCTCCAATGATAGAGATTCCACAAGTTCCCTGGGTCCCCGTTCCAGCACTTTCCTGGGAAACATTTTACCC